GCGGTCGATTAGTGACAGTGAGTCGGTGACCCAACACCTATAAAATCCTGGATCCGCCACTGATGTGAGCATAATCCCAACTGAAGCATGAACAAAATTAACAACACACTTGAAATCAAACCTTCTTACCAATAATGGAAAACAGGGTTAACCAAAACAAAAAATAAATAGATTAGAAAAAAAAAGCTAAGTACATATAAGTGCGAGGAATGTACATACTTTTAATAGGAAAACATGTTTTCGAATTATTTACTTTAATTTAAACATGCTAATATACGACTTTCTCAAAATTCATCACTTTCCAAAATTAGACTTTTCAAAATTAAATCTTCCAAACATAGTAATGTTCATCAATAGAAACTTTGAAAACCAATAGATTTCCAAATTTATAAAATTTTCAATTTTAGACAAATTTCTCAAACCAATTTTCCTCACCTAAGTGTGCACACACCCCAAAGCAAGCCAAACTATACTCGAGGAAAAATCAGATCATACAAAGTTTATGTCCTACTTAACCCGCCCTGGAAAGAGGGACAATAAATGCCTATAACACTTATAGAAAACAGGCTATTTTCCATGGAAATTTTCCGTCAGAAACATCCCTTTTTCCGTTGAAAAATGGGTTCCCAACAAAAGTCCGTCGGAAAAAGTCGTCGTAAAAGAATTTGTAGGAAAAACGATATGTTCCGACTAAATTCAGGCATCGAAAAGGATTTTCTGGCCTGAAAAAGTCGTCGAAAATTTACGTTGGAAAAGTCAATAATATAAAAGGATTTTTTGGAAAATAACACCACAAAAATCACTGAATTTTGATTATAATACCACAAATTTTAAAACTTTTATTATAACACCACTAAAAAATTCAAAATTTTAATTTCACCACCATTTAACTTTGCCATCCAAAAATTGTAAGTGGGTCCCACATTGAACATGTGTCAATTAATCAATTATTATAAGATTAAAAAAATGGAAAAAAATTAATAAGGAAAACCCAGCCACCTTCGGTTAGTGGGTCCCACCGTCATCACCCCAAGTCCCCAACCCAGCTTCCAATGTCGTCACCCTTCCAGCCAACCACCGTCAAACGACAAAACTAGCTTAGTCGACCATTGTCGACCATCAAAACCAGCCCAACCGTACCCAGCCTTAACCTCGATTTGGGGTTGGGATTTAGGTGAGGGTGATGGTGAGAGGAGTAGGGCAGTTAGTGGGTTTGAGGATGGTGTGGGTTGGGGTTTCAGCGGTTCGGCGATGGTTTTGGCCTTTTGGGTAGGGAAGAGGAGTTCGGCGACGGTGGTGGGGGTAACGTGTTGTTGTCCGGGCTAGTTTGGTAGGGGTTTCGATTTGGCGACGGTTTCGTTAGGGGATTCGGTTCTTCGGTTCAACAACGGTTTCTATGGGGGAGACGACGACGGGGGCTGGGTTGGGGTGACAGTGATGGCTAAGTAGGGTTGACGGTGATGGTTGGGTTGGGGGTGACAATGATGGTGGGTAGGGTTGACGGCAGCGGGAATCGGCGTCGGTGCCCAATAGTGGGGCTGGTGGCTGGGTTAGGATTTTAGGCTTTTTTTTAATCTAATAGATGACTAACACGTGTATAGCGTGAGGCCCATTGAACAGTTTTTTTGGATGGCATAGTTAAGTGGTGATGAAATCAAAATTTGGGTTTTTTGGTGGTGATATAATAAAAGTTTTAAAATCTGTAGTGTTATAATCCAAATTCAGTGATTTTATGGTGTTATTTTCTAAAAAATCCTTAAAAGAATACCAGCCCCTCCCCTAAACCGTACCCCTTTGCTCCTAAGCCACCATCATAATTCACCTCATCAACACCACAATTCACCCACCACCACTGCCTAAATTCACCCCATCACTATCAAAACCTACCCCACATCATCACAACCCAAATCCACCACCGAAACCCCTAACCCATAACCGAAACCACCCCAACCAAAACCCCACCCACACCAAACCAAACCAAAACCACCACCACCACCAGAGTTTAACCAAAAAGAACAAAATTTACCAAAAAAAATTAAATAAATTAGAAACTATAATTAGCAAAAATAATAATAATAATAATAATACCATAAAAAATACAAAAAAAATTACCCAAACAATTCGAAATAAATAAATAAATATACAACTACTTAAAAAAACTTATAAATTAACATTACAATGGCATTAATAATTAACTAAAGGAAATTTTTGTTTTGTTTGCTTTCTTTGTTTTTTGCTATGGAGTAGGATATGTAGCTGGTAGTTATTAATTTTGTTTGCTTTAATTTGTGTTATTTTCTTTCTTTGATGCTTTGTCGTGTGTTTTGTTTCTTTTGGGGCTTGCCCCTCTTTTTCCAAAAAAAAAAAAAAAAAAAAAAATATCAACCTGCATAAACTACTCCTCCTCCTTTTATAAGAAAGAAAAAACAAAATCCAACCTAATTGAAAATCTAATCCACAACCCAAAAGTTGCGTACAACTAGCGTCCATACTTAGTACTTTAGTAGGCTTTTATAATAAAGTCCAATAATAATAAAACTCCAACCAATAATGGTAGAACTATCACGCAACATGCTCACCCAATCGGGAATTAGGCCGCCCGATCGGGCCCTCTATTTCCCACGCCCAACAACTGACTTCTTTAGGGATTGGGCTTCTTTACATGTTGAATATGTAACATGTGCTTTTATATGAATGGGCCCAATTTCGTTCTTCTTGATATCCAAGTATTTGACTTGCAATTAAATTGTACTCCGAAAGTAACCGAGCTATTAATCACGAACCAAATTTAATTATTAGCTCAACCTTGGGTTTCAAATATACAGTCATAAACTACGATCAAACTCCGATATCTTTGTAGTGGCTCAATTAGCTCGGGAAATTATCATAAATCTGCAAATTCGTACAAAATAATACAAACTCTACAAAAATACTAGAAAACATATATTAATAATAAAAATACCTCCTCATAGCTCAAATAAGCATAAATATGACCATGAGACAAGGGAAAAATATATAAAATAGACTCATCACAGACTTAGCTTGGCTCGTTAACACCCTAGATGTAAATACTAATAAGTTTAGGGCTTGTTTGGCTTTGTTTTTTGTTTTCAATTTTTTGTGTTTTCAAAAAACAAAAAACTATAAACAAGAAAAAAATGGTTTCACTTTTCTGTTGTTAGTTTTCAAAATTATAGAGTTTTTAATAAGTTTGACTAATTTTTAATTCATTATACATATCATATGATTTTAAAAAAACAAAAAACTAAATATTAAAAAATCATAGCAATATATACTATCCAACCCTTAGTTAAAGAGTTTATTTTTATTAATGTTGGGGAAACCAACAAATCATTATCGAAAGATACGATCTTACATAATTTACTTAATAATTTTGGGCCTCCAATTATCACTAAAAATATAAATATCTTTTTTCTGATTATAAACGAAAATTTCACTATCATTTGCTTTCCATAAACAATGACGCCCACCGCAACCTAAATCTACAAAAGGAAATTTCATCAACAAATGCATCGAATTGTATATACCTGGCTTGCCTTAACCATTCCAAGTAACAACTATATCGTATTGTTCCCACGCGTGCGGTATTGAACGACCAATTGAAATGACCATACGCAGGAATCTCATGATATCCAAGATCTCTACGCTTCAAAGCATGTTTTTTACAATGAATACCAATAGTATCCGTACTTGATAATCTGTTTTCAATATCCACCCAATACTGTGCAGGCGTAATGCTCCAACCCTTTACAATTGATAAATCTAGGACTCCCATACATAATATTAGGACTAGTAAATATTTCAACATTATTTTTGGATGTATTAGTTTAAATTTTTTGAGAGGTATCTATTGTATTTTTGTTTATTAGAAGTATTTGTGATGATACAATGAATTGGTAGTATTTATATATGTAATAGTAAGAAAAACCTTAGCAAGGAAGGAACATTTTAATTTATTCAAATAGGAATATCTTGATGCATTAAAGATTTATGGTAGCTAATTTGGAAGGAAATCATACTAATATGGTAGGTAATCGTGATCACATATAATAACCATGATTTCTTACCAAATTCACCTTTTTTGCCCCAATAATTACATTTAATAGTAAGAAAAACCTTAACAAGGAAGGAACACTTGAATTTATTCAAATAGGAATATATTGATGCATTAAAGATTTATGGTATCTAATTTGGAAGGAAATCATACTAATATGGTAGATAATCCCGATCGCTTATAATAACCATGATTTCTTACCAAATTCACTTTTTTTTGCCACAATAATTATGAAGTTGGCATCAAATCTGTTGGGGGCACGTTAAAGTTGAGGCTAATGAGACTAGATTGTGATTGGTCAATTTGATAGACTGAAATTCATGTGAGAGGGAAAAAATATTGAGAACCACACTTTGTTCGTGGCATTTGGAGTTTATACAATACCATCAAAATTCTTTTAAATACCGCTGAAAGTGTCTTTTGTTTCATTACAATACAAGCATACATAGTATCATTTTAAATTTTTATAATTTACCAAAATGCATTGTAATGCATTTACCAAGTACATATTGGTTAGCCTTTAGAATTACCTTAAAAGTGGTGTTTTTCTACAATAACAAAGCTTAATGAAATTTTGATGAATACAAAGAAAAAAGGTAACCTAAAACCCCTTTAAGCGCAAATAAATTAATTGTCCTTAGTGAACCTTTTTCTTTTTAATTAATTAGGCCCAAAATATGAATGCTAAATAACTGCCCTTCCCCCCCCCCCAATTGTATCATAAACCAGAAAAAGGGTGGTAGGCATCGTTCATTCTTGGACCAAATGAAAAACAAAATTTCTACTCCTAACACCGCATCACTGGGGCATATGACCTTTTTAAATGAAATTCTTAAACTATTAAATGACTAGAAACAGCGGAATCCCCAGCTGCTGAACCAAATTAAAAGAATCAAGATGATCAACAACATCAACACTACTTTCAACAAAGCTTCCCTATAAGATCATTCAACATTAATAAGACAATAACAATGGTACTAACCTTTGTAACAACAAAAAACAACTTATTCCAATTTACATTGATCTACTACAATAGCGGATTCCAAAGACTAATCTACCTACTATAAGAGTGTAAATTCCAATGATTAATCCACTACAACATCTTGATGTACCAAATGTGATGATTTCAATGATTGATCCACTACAACGTCTTGATCTATCAGAAGTACGGATTCTAGTGATCGATCCACTACTACATCCATAGAGTACTCAAACGACTGTTACACAACATCCTTTCTTTAGAAACCTAAAAACAAAACTACACAATATATATAATAGGGTTACCATCATTAATTAGAGACATAAGTCATAAGATGATAAGTATAGCACTTATCCTTGTAACACTCTCAAATTTCCCTCCACGTAGATACTATAATAATACGTATACAAATAACATAGAGATAGACTTGGACATATTACCGTTATGTGAAATTGTAAAGCTTTACACAACTTGGCATCGTAAAATAACTGACTTTTATTAATAATTATAATAACCATAATAAATTGTTTGAAAATATTATAAATAAAAAAAATAAATAAAAAACTTGTATATGACTCATGGAATAATAAATTCCTAACAATGTGAGCACAATCCCAACTGAAGCATGCTTACAATTAACTCCACTTTTGAAATCAAATCATCTTACCAATAATGGAAAACAAGACGAACCAAAACAAAGAGGAAAATGGATTAGCAAAAAAGATAAGTACATATAAGTGCAAGGTATGTACATACTACAAAATTTTCATAGGAAAACATGCTTTAAGAATAGTTACTTTAATTTAAAAATGCCAATACATGACTTTCTCGAAATTCATCACTTCCCAAAATTAGACTTTCCAAAATTAAATCTTCCAAACATAGTAATGTTCATCAGTAGAAACATTGCAAACCACTAGATTTCCAAATTTATAAAATTTCCAATTTTAAACAAACTTCCAAAATCAATTTTCCTTACCTAACACCCCCCATTAACCAACAAAAAACCCCAACCCCACCTAACTCGCAGCCACCAAAACTTACCCACAAGGAGGAGCGACGACTACGGGAGGTAGTATAATGACGAGAAGGGCGGCCAATGAACTCAGCGGGCTGGTGGTGAGAGAAGAGAGAGAAAAGTGTTGTTGGTGGTTGAGAGGGAGGAGAAAGAAAAGTTGGTGGTGATGGTGGTGGATGTGGGCTGTGAGGGAGGAGAGAGAATATGGGTTTGGGGTTTAATTATGGACTGATTAATTTAGGTTATTAAGTTAATAGGTGGTTTATTTAAGTTAAGTAAGGGTATGTTGGTAAATTCACACAAAAAAATTTACTATATTAGGAAAGTTTTATTTTTGTACATAATGTATAGTTTCCGTTTTAGAAAATTGTTGCAGATTTTATGAAACGGAGGTAGTATATAAAAAAAACGGAAAAAAAATCCAAAAACAAGAAAAAGATGTTAAATGACATCACTTTGTATAAACTATAAAATGAAATAAATATTAAGTCCAAAAAGAGGGTAAAAAAATAGTATCCTAAACCCTTTAAAAAGTGGAAAGTGCTACTGTAGCTTATCTACAGTGCTCTGCCCAAACTGCCCCTTGCCACGAAATTAAGTTGTTGTGTGAGCTGTTGGCCTAATGTCTACCCATGTCCTTTCTTTCTCCTACCTACCTTTCATTTTTTTCCTGTTATTTTCTCTTTTGCTCTGAATTCCCGTCATCTCTATTTCACTCTCCTTCTCCCCATCAATTTTCCAGGGTTTACCCATTCTTCAACTTATTGAAAATTCAATCGGAAAAGCATCAACATCTCTAGATCTTATTTCATCCCAACTCCGACCAAAACGTAGCGGCGGAGGCTGCTGTTGATTTGGATGGGGGCATAGAAGAAGTCATTCAGAAGAAAATGTTTCAATTGAGGCGAGATTTGACTACAAATTAATGGGAAAAGCTAAAAAAAACCCCAAATTTGGTGTCTGGAAGAAGCTCTTCACTACCAAAATAGGTACTAATTCTCTCTCTTCCTCTCTATTTCTTTCTTTACATTAATTAACAAGTACTCACTCTTCAATTGTGTATTGTTTTATTCAAATTCAGGCACAAGAAAGACGGGAGATGGGTTGTCTTATATAAGGAAAATTTTATTGTGAGGAGTTATGAAGTAGGGATAATAAGACTACTACTGGTGAAAGTTTGAAACCATTGCTAATCTTTTACAGGTATTTCACTTTTATCTTGCTGGAAATTTTTTGTTTTGTTTGATTTTTTGTTTAAGTTTTGATTTTGAGTGGTGATTAGTAGATTTTGAATTATGGGTTTGGTTTGGTTTTTGGTTTTTGGTTTTGAGTTTTAGTTTGGTGAATTTTTTTATAATGGGTTTGATTAATTGGTGAAGTTGGAGTAATGGGTTTGGTGTAGTTTTGGTTTATGAGTGTCAATTGGTGAGATTTTGATAATGGGTGAAGATTATGTTTTGATTTTGAGGTGGAAAGTATGAATTTGGATTAATGGATTTGATTAAGTGTTGGTTTATCAGTAATTAAATGGTGAAAATAAGAGTAATTAGCTTTATAAAAGTTTGCATTATGAGCAGTAATTTGGTGATTTTGGATTAAATTTGGTTTCTGTGTGATAAATAAACTCATTTGGATTAATAAATTTGGTAAATTTTTTGGTTTATTAGTAGTAATCTGGTGAATTTGAAATCTTTTGTTTGATTAATTTTAGCTTTTTAATGGTGAATTTGGTGTAACAAGCTTACTAAATTTTGCTTTAGAGTAGTAATCTGGTGAATTGGAAGTATGGGTTTGGTTAATTATGGCTTTTGAGTGGTGAATTTGGATTATGAAGCATATTTGATTTTGGTTGGTCCATGGATAATTGATAAATTTTGTGAATTGGAAGTATGATTCTTGAGAATTTAATCAATTATAATGCCATGGGTGCATTTATAGATATTATGCTTTTTTTTTTGTTGATTCTAGTAGAATATAAAATATTGCTTAGGGATGGGTAGGATATATTCTGTTTAGAAATAGGTTACTATTAGAATGGAAGGGTCTAAGAACTTCATTTCTTCTTATATTACTAAAGTGAATACTATTACTATGGAGAATGGAGATAGAAAATTGCAACTGCATGCAGAGAATGTAGGGCAAGGAAGGATAGAGGGGTAGCAGAAGGTTGGAGGGGTAGGACCCTTAGTGAAATTTGGATTTTTCTGTTCTATTTCTTATGTTAGGGTATTTAAAAATAAATTTGGATTTTTTGGGTTTTAAAATGGAAATTTGGATTTTTGGAGGTTACGATTTATACTTTATAAAAGGATAAGGACTGTTTGATTTCTTACTAAAATATAGAGCACATTGTAATGGTAAACTGGTGAAGCCGTGAAGTTTCTGGAGCGTCGCCAACTGTAGGGAATATTTTCAAGCCTTTAAAAACCCCACTAGCTTGAACCCCACTGTGATCATACACTAAAGTACGGTGGCGTCCAAAAGGGAAGAAGATAGAGCAAAAGAGTCGCCAACAAGTTTTTAAGGAACTTGTAAACCGTTCACGAGGTGAAGGTTACACCCCTTAACGATCCAAGAGATCGTCAACTCCATAAGGTCATGAACCAAATAAGGGTTCGGGGATGAAGGTACAAATCCAACCTAAAAGAGATTGAACCTGCCCTAATAATAGGCCTCTACTTTATTCTGATCGTATTCATGTGCGCTTTCTGACTAACATACAATCAATAGGATTAACCCTAAACCTGTTTAATCTATGTTGGTTGAATTTAATGCACAAATAAACTATTATTGGCGATCACTTGAATTATAATCACAATTAACCTAACAAGATTTTTGATATCTTATTAAGCGTGATTGCAAATACCAATTCCCTTTAACCTGCAATAAAAGGTGATCAAGCAATAACAATATATAATAATATGCATATCAAGCAACATAATAAATAATCATCATCAATCATAATCATAAATGTTAGAAAGAACATAGGAAACATCATACTCTTAATCATGCTTAATATTAAAAACACCCTAGACATAATACTAATATAAACATGATGTCTACATCATAAAATCAATTAATCAATAAAGTACTTACTTGGATGCCTCGTACCTCTTTCTAATAACAAAATACACACGTTAGTAACTTCAAGGAAAATAATAATCAAAACAATTAAATTAAATAATTGAAAGAGAAATATGGGACCAAACCCTCAGAAATTAAAACCTTTCACGTCTAGGGCGAAGGCAACTTCGAATATGGCTAGGTATATCAAGATCTTGTGAATGCGGAATTTTGTGTTAAAAAACAAAGTTTTAAAAGAATGAATGAAAGATTAATGATTCATAAACTAATTTGTTGACGATTGAAGATTGTAGATGATGAATGAAAACGGAATTTATTAAAACTTAAGAACAAAAGAAGTGGTGAATGATAGATGACAATCCCTCCTCCAAAACGGAGTTTTTGATACGATATTTATAGAGAAAATCAGCCAAAAAAGATAATTTATCAAAACAGAGTCTGAAGATCGCAAAAACAACTTGGCGCAAGCCCTGGCTCTCAGTGGCTAGCGCCAGGCGCCAATGCTGGCGTCTGGCGCCAATCCTGATTCCAGGCGCCAAGGCCTGGGGTTGGACGCCAAATTGGATTTCAACGTGATTTCGAAAATCTGATAAATTTCCCGTACTGGAAGATAAAATAATATAATTTCAGTCGAAAATGCTATTTGATCTAATTAAAACTCTAAAGAATCCTAATTGAATTAAGAATGATAAGAACCTTCTAGAAACTTCTAGAAGACCAAAACCATTCCTAATTACATTAGGAATGATAAATCATATTAGGCCCTCCCCTAGATCATTGGGCCGTACTTAAAGCTCAAACCGGGCCCAGTTTAGTAAATTGACCATAAATTCCTCAATATTCATCGGAATTGGGCTTATAATATATCGTTGGAAAGATCTTTGAAAGCCCCATCCAACTACACCACTATTGGACCCATATCATGGACCAACCAAACTGGATTGGCTGTTTTCTTAAAATAAAGTTTTCAAAATCAAGGAGAAGAGAAAAGAAAAGAAATAAAACTTTCCGCAACACTAGACCTTTCCACACTTTCGTTTCATTCGATTATGATTCGACGTGAAAGGTACTCATCACTGGGTTTGGTTTTGGGGAGACACAAATGGGTGTCTACACCATCTTAGTTCTTCAGTGAAAGGGCAGTTGGTGGAGAAGTTTGCGAAGGTGAGATCCAATTTAATTGATTGTTGGGGTTTCAGGTGAGAGGCAATGGAGAAATTCTTGGTCAAGTAGTTTTATCTCAGGTACAATTGCTATTTCAATGATTATTTTGATGGTTGAAATGTTTTGTTCGCTTTATATTGTTCTTGTTGAGTGTACTGTGTGTATATGGATATTTCAATTATGCAATTGAAATAGTTAAAATTAAGAAACATATATTTGATTTGTTTAGTACATTTTTCTTTTAGCTATTATATGTAAAATTAGTACTCTGTATCATTTGATTCTATCTCTATTTGTGTAAAATTGTAGATCACGAGCTATCAATTTGATTACTTGGTTCAAGAGTTGTTGGGAATCGGCACATTGAATTGGCACTCTGTACTAAAATGTTGGCTGAAAGAGTGTATTTGAAAGCCCTAAGGGTGCTACATTGCCAATAATAGAACAATTGCTTTAGTGTATACTGGGGTTTATCTAAGTAACTGATGATAGGGAGGTAGTATATATAAAAGTAACAAGCTGGTGCATTCATTGAAGGGAGATTATTGGAAGTTTGCGCAAGTTTGCAATGGTATTCAATTTGTGACCTCATGGGTATGTACTAAGTATATTTAAATGTACTAAAATTGTATTGAGTGTACTTCTGTATATAGATTTACTTCTTGGTTGCTAATATAAGTAACAATATATTGCTACCTTTAGTTTGCCTTCCTCTGATTTTGACCCTGTTGATTTGTTATTGTTTTTTGGTATCATGCTAATTTGCTTATTATTTTCTTTCTTCCCCATTTGCAGGTAACACAACCTGCACTGAAGCAAACTTAACTGCTAAACAACTTTATGTAGTCGCAGTTATTATTGGTTCTCGAATAAGTCTTTGCTTGTGGTAATCTAATTGGTTGACTATCTGTTTGTCTTGTTATATATACAAAATAGAAAAATAGCTTACAGTTTTAATTAATGTGAGCAATGAGCGTAGAGGCCATGTGTTACTTAAAAGTTAGGGAATATAGTAGAGCAAAAAAAGAAAGGAAGTGATGACCACAATTTTTCTGTGTAAAATTTTTATTTTGCTTTTATTTCAAAATAGCAAATGTTGGTTTAAACTTGAAAACAAATGCAAAACTCCCAGGTAAGTCTTTGATTTATTGAATGTCTACAGCAGTTCATCATTAGTTAACCAAACTAAGGAGCTACTTTCAATTAAACCAAACTATAAACAACAACCTCCCTCTTTCCTTAATTTCTATTTTTTAAGCACCTTTAAAAATAGTGTGCGGTATTGTTTTGTTTTATCTGATTTTTTTAATAGATAAAGTATATAAGTAAAGGATAGTTACTGCTAGGTCATGCTCGAAAATTTGTCATGAATATTGATGGTTGTTTTTCATTTGATCTTTCTTGTAAGGCAAGAAACAATGCTCGTATTTTGATCTCAGGCTCACTTAAACTTTTCTGTGACGGGTAAACTTGTTTGCCTCTGTTACATATTGTTTTTTAAGCTGTTGAAGATCTGTATAATTATGTTAATCAGAGAAACTCTGTTTATTAGTTGAGATTTTGAAGATCTGTTTATTAGGAGTGCAAAAGGCTGGTAGCTCCCCCTGACTTTTCACGTGTCATCAAACAATTCGAAATGCCTCGACGACTTTATTAGAACATGCCTGACTAGGTAAATAAAGCTTCGACTTGGATTTTTCTGGATTAGTAGCATTTTATGTGGAGACAAACTAAGATAAATGAAAGCAGGGATAGAAATAAGGAAGTGAATATCAAGCTTTAGTTAATCCAAAAACATTCTTTCACTTCCTTTGTGAAGAACAAAGCCAAAATGCGTGTTAATTTCGATGCTTAGGGCACTCAGTTTAAAAGCTTATGGTAGATTTAATCCAATTTACATTCCTTCAAATTTAACCTACGCATTTATAAATATTGTATATATTACAATTTTTTTCCTTGCCAAAATTTAATAGTACGCCATAAAATATACTTCCTCTGTTTTTTTTATTATTGCACCATACAAGTTGGGCACAATAATTTTGGTTCTGGGAAAAGGAAGAGAGAAATGTAAAAATACAAAAGTGTCCATGTGATGTAAACATAAACTAAATAATAAAGGTCAAAAAGTAAGGGTATGTAGGCTATTTGTCGTGTGAACAGAGATAATATTTGTCCTAAAATGGAAATGGTGCAATATTTGTGAAACTTCCTTAAAAGGCAAGTGGTGCAATATTAAAAGAACGGAGGTATGAAATGTAAAGGGGTGGGGGAGGTAAAAAGGATGAAGATGAGTGAGATAGATATGGTGAAAAAAGTAGAACTAGGCTTACTTAAATTTCCAAAACCATAAAAAAAATGAGGAGAGAAGAATGAGGAGCATGAAGTGACAAGGGAGAGAAAAGGACTGAGGCAATGCAAAGAGGGGGGGTTGAGGATTCAGAGAGATAATATGACGTGAAGATGAGAGAGATTGAGAAGGTGTGGTAAGTAGGATGAGGTTTACTGTACTAAAAAGGTTAAAACCACTAACAAAAGGAGGTATGGAGAGAATAATATGGAGAAGAGAAAGGGATAAAATGACGAAACGAGAGGGGAATATGGAAAAGGGGTGAAAAGGGTGATTAGGCGAGGTTAAGATGATAGGCAAAGATCAATGATGCAAGGCAGATAAGAGGCTAGAAGATTACATCTCCCGTTAGGAGGCCATTATAGAATATAATAATTTTTAGCTTTAAATGACATGATAAAAGTATGAGCAATTAGAAAGAGACTTTCTTAATTATGCATGAACAAATAAGATAAATGAGAGATGGGATAGAAATAAGGATTTAGGAAGGGGTGAGGGAGCAAGTGGGGCGAACTAAATTTTCAAGACCATAAATAGAATAGTGAAAGGGAGTGAAGAATAGGGACCAAGTGGGAATAAGGCATACGAATCGGATAAGGGAATGGAAGGGGTAGAGGGAGATAGGAAAATAGTTATAATGGTGAAATTTTGATTGATTACACGAGTGATTTTATAATTCATTACATTATGAGTCGTGTTTGTATTATTATAAAGATAAAAGAAAATGATGATTATGGTTGTCATACAATGTACTAAGAAATTGGTTGGTGAAAAAAATACTTGAAACAGCCAAAGAGATTATTAGAGAGAGAATGATCATCATCTATAGAATCATCTATAGTAAGAATACAACTCAAAGAACATTCTTATCCCTGTCAAAACTTGTATGTTCTAACAAGATTTCTGTACTTTTCAATAGCTCCCTTTCATCTCACTATGTATTTTCATAATTCAACTAAGATAATGTGTTGTTTGATAAATGCAATATAAGATCTCATATCACCAAATGAGTGATTTCTAGCTTATGAGTTTCTCTTAAATTCAAGTGTTCGAATGTTCATTTGGTCTTCTGTACATTGCTTTGCAGGTTGGGGTGAGCAAATCGGGTACCTGGTCAAAATTTTAGGACCCAGACTTGGAATTGGTTGGAACCAGATCCTAAATTTCGCATCCGAAATTGGAATTGGTTCAATCGGGTCCTAAAATTTAGGAATTGGTATTGGAACCACCGGGTACCGGTTCCGGTTTCGGGTACCCACTTATGTATGTAATTGTTAAAATATAATACAAATTGTAATTCTTATTTTAGTTAGGTTTATTTTTAGCGTTTAATACTTATATTTATATATGAATTAAGCTATTTGTATTTATGTTAAGTATTAATAATACTTTTTTTTATTTACAAATTAGATACATTCAACATATTTTTATTATTTAAAATTTATTTAGTTTAGCATATATTAGGTAACCGGCTACCCAACCGGTTCCGTTTCCAAAAAGTTGAGATTTAGAATTGATTTGGTTATAACCGGATCCTTAATTTATTACCCGGAATTAGAACCACCGGGTCCAATTCCCGTTCCGGACCCGCCGGTTCCCAACCGATTCCAATTTCAATTCCGAATACTCGGAATTTTTGCTCACCCCTATTTGCCGGTATATGAGCTGTGAGAGTGACATTCTTCAGTTATTTGTAGGTCTGCAGGATAAGTTTCTCTGGATATAGGCCCCAAGAAGTAAAACATGCTTCCGAAAAGAAATTTGTTATGGAATATACTAACAAATTATCGAGTAGCTGACTCAAAGACTAGCATCTCAGCCATCCATTTGTTTATGAGTTGAGTATTATAAAGAAAATATGTCGCACCCCACGGGTAATTCAAGATATAACAACCTCATTCAGAAACACTCTTCATCTCACATCTAATAATATTCAAGCATGAGCCTCTGATATTAAAAAATGCTCAGTCAACCCCTGGTATATGCATATGGAAGTGTTAGTGGATCATGAATTGCCAGAAACCTTAATTGCTTTTCTTGTTACAGCTAACTACAAATCACGAGAGTAGAATTGTCAAGATACCGAGAAACATGTAAATGGAGAGTGAGAAGGGAGGAATCTGGGGAATGTTAAATAAAATCAGAAAGCTATATAAATTAGTTTGAGATGGAAAATCTTCGAAAAATTCACATTCCTTTTTTAAAAGTAAAATTATAAAATTATTTCTCATGGACTAATTAAGATCGAAGACTGTTCAAATTGTAGTTCTTGCCTTGGGGTTATATTGCAATTGGGTATTATTGCTATGTATTCTTGGCTCGAATGGTATACATTAGATTTGTTATATTGTCCTCCTATACGCTCCTACAGGTCTTGGTCTTACAATATCCTAGAAAAAAAATCATAAACGACTATCCCTAATTTATCTTGACATTAGTTATATGATAGTTAGCAGTTAGTACTGTGAGAGTATGAGTTATATTCAGTTTTTTTTTCTTTGTTGTCATTCATTTCAGGTTGTTAACTTGACGGACAAGTTGCGTCTTTTGAAGTAGAACATGGAGGACTATTAATCTGAACGAATGAACCACCTATCACACATGCAACATCAAAAATAATGCAAGAAGAACCCATTATTATTGAATCTGCTATTGTGACACTGGGATCCCCTAGCAGCAGTCTTTAGCTGCAAACAGGAAGACATGACCTCTGTTAAGAGCTATGGTAGCCATTCTCTCTTTAGTGAGCTCTATCAAGGTATAATTTCTCTTTTTTCATACTTAATTAAAAATATACTCGAGCTAGATGTATCCCTTTAATTTCCTAATAGATTTATGTTGCTTTATTATATTAAATTATTTCAACCATACTTGAGCAAGGTGATGAGGTTCTTTATTTGAGCTTAGTGATAATAATGATGATTCAATTAGCAGAAGAAAGACACTGGTGAAGTATGATGGTCAAGGCTGGGGAGAGATTTGCAAAGCTTACACTCTTTAGATCGGAATGCTTAATTGAATAGCTCTCATGCAACCCAACCAGCCACCTGAAAAAAAAAAAAGATGAAATCCCGTTGCAGATTATGTGCATCAGTTGATCATGAAATGCTTCCCTTAAGTGAATTTACACTCTTCAGAATGCTAAATTGTTAGATTTATTTAATGGGGTAGATTGAATGCTTCCCTATTGTTGCTTCATTAGCATATGGGTTTGAGAAGAAGAATAACGAGACAATTTTGGTTTTCGATATTGGAGGTGTTACCTTTGATGTTTCGGGTGAGTTCTTCAGAAAGAAAGACTCCAATTGTGAGAAATTCTATGTATTTATCAGCATTCTGCATTAGTCTACTTTTTTATGCAGGGTACATAAGATTATCTTACATTGCAACTCTTTCTGCCTTTTGCAGTTCTTGAGGTTGGAGACGGAGTTTTTGAGGTGTTATCTACATTAGGTGACTGTAGACACCCATTTGTGTCTCCCCAAAACCAAACCCAGTGATGAGTATCTTTCACATCGAATCATAATCGAATGAAGTGAAAGTGTGGAAAGTCTAGTGTTGCGGTTAGTTTTGTTTCTTTACTTTCTCTCTGTTTTTGAAAACCTATTTTATGAAAACAGACAATCCAGTTTTTTTGGTCCACGACAAGGGTCCAATAATGGTGTAGTTGGATTGGGTTCGAAAAGAGCTTTCCAACGATATATTATAAGCCCAATTTCGATGAATAATGAGGAAGTTATGACCAAATTACTAAACTGGGCCCGGTTTGATCTTTATATGCGGCCCAATGATCTAGAGGAGGGCCT